GGAGTTTAAATTTGAGCCCTGGAACAGGAACTGGAAATTCTGTAATAACACTATCACCACCGGCCAAGTCCCTGGCCCAGTATATTTGTGGCAGAAATTGTCTCATCTGTGGATAATGTACACTTAGAGCTCTTCTTTCTTCTGTGAAGGATTCATTCCTGTTGTCTCCAACATCCCGCTGATATTTTGATGGATTTTAGTCTGTGTTTACCTGCCTAATCACGAGGGATTTTGGAAGCCCTCATGAAAGAGAACCACTCCTGGGTTCATAAGCAATTTCTGTGGCTCCAGTAGGGCTTTTTTTACAATATCGAGAGGTGCCTTGTGAACCCAGAGATTTTCTTTCTAGGGAACAACTTCTTGACCTTTTTGTCCTGATCTCTGAGATCACACACGGATCTATCTGCAATCAACATCAGCCCAGAGTCAGGGCTGCTTCTTGCTCCTCCCATAACCACACACTTCTATGGGAATGTTTCTTCTGATTGGGGAGGCAGTATTACTTGGAGGCAGAGTGAGCATTTCAGAACCACAGCCTTCAACACCAGCTCTTTCCTACCCATGTCTCTGCCAGGCAGTGGTGGGCTGAAGCTAAGACCACTGCTAGCTTGAGAATGCTTTAAAAAACTCTGCAGAGAAGGTGCTCTAGCACTGCACAGGACTTGAGTTTTAGTAACACTACTAATGATATGAAGTTAACTGACATGAAGTAAACTCACTAGTAATGTTTTATGTTACCTTTGTTCTCTGCTTTAAAGTAGTTTGATGCCTAAGTATTGGAAATACAATGATTTGGTTATTTTTCCTTTCAGAATTGTCCCAGGGACATTAAGGAAGTACTTAAGTAAAAATTATTGTAATAGAGGATTTCCTTCAAGTGGCTTATTTTCCTATAGAAAACTGGATATTTCTTTATTTTTAGAGGATAAAAATATCTCCTGAATAGCCTCCTGTGCCTTAGAATTACAGTATTTGGGATTCTGTATTTAATACATATTTAATATAGAAGCTATACTTAATATGGAATTGCAATATTTGGGATTCTATATATAATATTTAGATTCCCTAGAAGACTTTTAAATAAACAAATTCTGTATTTCTGGGTAGTTACTTTAAAGTCAGTTATGGGGCAGACTTCCAGAATAGGCAATTTGAAAGGATTGATTGTAGGCATTATTGCACTGGATATAAAAAAAAAAACCTCACAAAACCAAACAAACAAAACCAATGCACATAGAATAAATGCAAGTATTTGAAGGTTTTGTTGTGATCAATAAAAATGTGGGCAGCTGATGAAGACTGGTCAGACAAGACCACTGTTTCTATAGTACTTTTCAGCTTTTCAATCAGAAGAAAAATCCTGTCCTACAAACAGCTAATTTATTTCTCAAAGCATTTCTTTTCTATTAATCTTCCCATGCCCTACTATGTAAGATAGCATTGAAGAAAATACTCCTGTCACTGGAATGTATATTGATGCATGTAGTAGTGTAGAAAATGCTTGACTTTAACATGGATACCTGATATGAGACCCTGGAGAGCGTGGTGAGTGGGATGAACAGCATGCCAGGAGTAGGCAGTGTGGCCAGAAGATTGCACCCAGCACAGCTATAGATGCCACATCTTTCAAAACAGCTGTAGAATATAAGCAGAGGAAGATCTGTTTGTGTTTTCTATCACTTTTGAGTGCTATTACTTATGTTTTTCAATGCTATGAAGTCAGCAGCAGTAATAAGTACATTTGTCCTATCAGGAAATTTTATTTTTTTTTTCTCTAAAGAGAAAAAGCTTTCCACATACTTGATATTTTCTTTTGTCATTTTTATACCACTGCATGCAGGAACTTCCCCTGCAGAGAGCCAGGACAAATGTGCCAGATCTTTGGTACAATCTCAAAGGGATTTCAGTAGGAACAAAGTGATGCTTGAACCTTCACCGGCCTTTTGTAAAGGGATGACTAAGCCCCTTCTCTCATAGAAAATAAGTTATTAAAAAAATAGTATTTCTTGAGTTATTATGAAGAACAACAGAAACAAGCCATTCTATGTCTAACACCAACCCACAGCAAGCGAGTTAGCCCCAAGGTGAGGAATGAGACTCTTCTGCTTTTTAGTTTCTCTGTAATATTCCTGATAAGTTCAGTAGTGCAATTCTCACTGAGGACAAATCCCCGTGACCAAACCATTAATTTAGAAAAATATTGCTCCTATTGCCAGAAGCAAGCTTTTACTCAGCATACCACACTCTAAAACCACCTGGTTCTTCTGAAAATCCCGCGTCCATGCAGATATAACAGATGTGGAAATCTTACGGTAGATTGCAGTCAAATGATGGGATATAGAGGATGATTACTGCCTGGGCTGGTGCTGGTTTGACATGTTGATTTGACATGCTCTGTCCCTGTGACTTCCTTGAGCCTGAAAGCAGTAAAGCTGCTTTAATAAGGCACTGCTTCCAGCTCATTTGCCTTTACCTCCCAGAAGGGCCTATGACCTTAGGTGCAGGCTGGGGCTGCAGCAGAAAAACTGCTACTAACTTGATACTAGTGAGCCTGAATCTAGCTCCTCAGGGTGTAGGCACACAGTAGACGCACCCTACATTGAACTTTTAAAAGTCAGCCATGAAACTGGAGCCTAAACATGCCTTTTTTTTTCTTCATAAAATAAAATCTGGAAATGCTTATTTGCTTTTAATTACTGTCCAGTTTGCACAGTTCTTTGGCCTGCAAAGACATGGGGGAGGAGATCTTGCCTGTCCAAAGCCTAAAGTAGGTTTCAAGATGGAGATTCAGTCCTGATTTGTGCCTGATGCTTCCTGTTTGTCCTTTTGTATCCCACTCTCAGTACTAAAACAGAGCTAAAGCCGCCCTGCTGCTCATGGAAAGTGTGAGGTAAAGCCCAGGGAAGCCTATGTCACATTACCATGCCGCAGAAGTAGCTAGACCTCAATAGGAATGAAAACAAAAAGTGAAATACAGTTCTTCACAAAGCCATCATAACTAGGTAGCAAGGGGATTGTAGAGATAAAGAGTTTCAGCTTAGTACTGTACTTCAAAAACAAATTAAGCAGCTGGAATAGAAGAGCAGGAGGTAGAAGTTCTGAGTTCCAATATTGCCTCTGGTATTACATTTTGTTTCTGTACTTTGGTTTCTATGGAACCCACCACTAGACCAGTTCATAGCAATTTAACCAGAAAACATGATTCTTGCTGCTGCAAATTGTGTGAGAAGTTCCCTTTTACCAAGGATCAGTACCAGGCCCATATACCTCCAGGATGGCGAAGTACTACTTGAATGGCCCAGGGGCCCTAGGAAGTTCTTTGAGCAGCAGTGAACTTCATTGTCTGTAAATATCTACCTGGTATTAACATATTTGTTTTATTTTTTTATTTGACATTTGTTTGCCTTATCATGTGAATGCAACACATGCAGCTGCACACCTTAAAACAATCCATGTTTTTAGAAAGACATGCTAGTAGAAATGGAAGTTAATTTAACACTTAATATGTTGACATTCATGATTTTTGTGACTAAAAAGGCCATGATTACATGTAAATGTCAATCTTACCAGTGGCATTATGTCTAATAAAACTTAACATCTAATTGATGCAATTATTTCTGCCCACTTCAGCATCTATTAAAAAATGCAGCTGTTTCTCAGCACCATACCTGGCACCTACACACCTCTCCAGAGGCTTGAAAGGGACCTTTATTTCTTGCAAGCACAGGCATCCATCCACACAAGGAGGTACAATGTGTGGTCATAATATAACAGAGGTAAAGATGTAACAGCCACAGGAATGCTCATTTCAGGCTTGCACAGCATATTGCAGTGATCCATTATTGTTTTAACTTAGAAATAGATCCCATGCTACAAAAATACTAGGACAGTTATTGTGTGTTTCTTCTGTTACTTTTGCAACATCAGTTTCTCTTACTTAATAGACATATACCTTCTTAATTAGGCAGATGAGCATCCTGATTCATCATAGTACTCTGAGTACTTCTAATTATGACTCTGAAATGTTGAACTGTAAAATAACACTAAGGTGTTATGTAAAGAAACTGAAGATGAGAGAGAAAACATAAGTAAAGACTTCATATCTCTATTTAGTCAGCTATATTTGACCACAGAAGTAAAGCTGTGCTACTGCACTTTCTTTTCTGATCACAGCCAGGTTTATTAGTTAACCATGCATCAACTGGGACCAGAGAAATCTCTTTTTCATTGGACTGTTTATTGCTTATTAAAAGATACAAAGTGAGCCTTCCTTAATCTCTTTTGCCCTCCTCTGAAAGCCTTAACAACTATACTAGATGATTCAGAAGCACTCTGGCTTGTTGCCAGGTAGCTGACATCCAGTCAGAAAGAGACAGCAGTCTATAAATGATTTGTGGAATAAGCTGTGATTCACCTAAAATGCCACCTCTCCAGTCATTCCTCCGAGTCATTAATTGTGCATCATTAAATTATTTCAAGGCTAAGTATTTACATGCAGTGCAGCCCAAGAAATCAGTATAATAATGGTGCATGAGCAACAGACTATAAAAAACAGTAGTGCATGAAGACATGGGAGGTCTGAGGTCCTTATTTTTCCCCGATTTGTTAAAATATCCCACTCTCAAACTGTGGCTGTAATAGGGGTATGGTTAGCTGAAACTCCCAAGAACTGCCTCAGAAGCTGTCAAAGAACACTCTCTAAATATTCATTTACTAAACAGTGTTTGCACATATAATATCTTGCAACACCACATTATTCCCTGTTAATGATCACAGAACACAGGGTTGGAAACTGGGAGTGTGGAACTGTATGACACTTTCAGAGGTACAATACATGTCATCAGATGAGCTGGAATGCAGGCCAGGAATCCTAGCTCACAGCTGTGCAGACTGAAGGCCTGAAGCACTGCAGGCTGAAGCACATCAGAGAGCCAACATGCACAGTCAATGCCCAAAATGTGCCACCATCACCTCAGCTGTGTAAATAGCAGCAGCCAGGCCCCAGTGATGCCCACTGGCGAGGCAGAGCCCGATGCTCTCAGAGCTCAGGGGCTCAGCTGCGGCCCCGCCTCGGGGCTCTGGCCAGGGTGCTGAAGTGGCCGCGGCGCCCCGGCTCACGAGAGCAGTGCGGGCGCGAAGGTGCGAGAGCACCAGGGCGGGAGAGCGAGCAAGCGTCCCCCAGTACAGAGAGATCCTGCAACATCGGAACCGAACTAAGGTGGGCAGAACATCTTTGTTCCGTTACCAGCACTAGAAAGACCCTGTCACACATGATGGCCTTTGGTTAGAAGAATGACCTTTCTTAAATCTCGGAGTAATATCTGCTTGATGACATGAGTGGGGTTAAGTAACAGGAGAGAAATACTGTGTGCCCAGGACTGTAACCCTGGTAAACATAACCGACAGTTTATAGGTACAAACTGTGCAGGGCTTCTCTGTCCAGGCTACAAGGTAGCTGGGTCACAGGCAGGCGCATTCAAGAGGCTGCATGAATGGCCAAGTACCCTACTACATATCACTGGAAGCAGAGAAACTGTAAACTGGAAAGTTCCCCCTACCAGTCATGAACTGCAGTTTATTCCAGATACAGAAGGAAGATATCAACTGCCTCTCATCTAGGTCAGAGAATCCAAGAAATCCCCAAGACCTTTGAGCAGTAACATCCTTTGTAACCTCTGAAGCCTTGCATGTCTGTTGAGTATAAAGCTCCAGGTATTAAGCTTAATACTACAAAAACATTTATTACTAAAGAATTAAAATAATCATTACTCTGTTACAGGATTATGTAGACTATTCAGATAGAGATATGGGTTCTATTATATCGGAAATTGTATTAAAAAATCTTAACCGCTCTGCAGTGAGTGTAATGAATTCTGTTTTCATTTCCACTGTCGAGGATCCCAAATAGTCTCCCTCTTTTCTAAAGAGGTTTTTTTTTTAAATCACACTATTATAAGTGGGACTGAAATATATAGTGTTGCTCTTTTCCCCAACATTCACTCTGGAATTACATCATAGATCTGCTAAAATGATTTTCAGTAATCAAGAGATAGAAAATCATAAAAACTGTCTTGCTGCTGCTCTCCTCTTCATTGCCTGTCTAGTCCCATTCAAAACCCAGCAGTACAAAATTATCTGATAATTTCAAACAGTAATAAAAAAAAAAATCTATGTCAATAGAAAGCTTTATAAGATTCGGTTTTTAAGAAAAGTTGACATCTGTTTTGGTTATAAAACCACACAGTTCCAAGATAAAAGAAACTCCTCTAAGAAATACACACCCTGGCCAAACCTAAACAAACCCCAAACTTGACAATAGTGTAACCCAGGTCAGCTCAGTTCCAAGCTTCAAATATTACTGTAAAAAAGATTTCAGCTCAATAGTACTCACTGTCAGTTATAGCTGTTGCACCTACTTTGAATTCCAGTTACCTCAGCTGGACAAAGAATTAATAAGTAGGAATGACAGGATTCCTTCTTGCTTCAGGAAACAGGGCTAATTTTGATTACTTATGGGTCATGAAATATTTAATGGTACCTTTCTGCATGTGAATGGAGAAGTCTTGATTTAATACTGGTAGGTATTGTTTAAACCTGCCAGCTTCAGTTTCCTTCAAAGATTGATATTAGCCTGGTATTTTTTCTTACCCAAAGCAACCAACAATACTGCTGTGTGCAAGATGTTGTGTACCTCCACAGCGATTGCTTCATTTCAACAAGAGTATTTTTCTGAAATGGTCATTTTTGTAGTCTATAAAATTGAACTAACCCACTGAAATCAGCATGAGTTAGTACTACCCCTGAGAACAAAATGGAGCTGAAAGAGCTTTAAGTTTCTTCTTACTGAAAGATCTTTTATCAGAATGAAGTCTCATTACCTCAGTGGCCCTGTGGCCATTTCAGAAGTATATAAACATTTGCTACTTATCTGTTAGCCATTCAATTACTAAGATCTTGATACTGTGTAAATATTTAACTACAATAGAGGATATAAATCAGAGAAAGTGATTCTGTTTCATTCCACTGGTGGCAGTAAATCACAGGCTATTCAGACTACTGGGCTACACCCAAAGAACTGAGCTGTGAACACAAGCAGACATTATCTAAATTTTCCTGTAAAGCAAGTCCTAATTAATTCACAATTCATAGGGGGAAGACTCTGGAGCAGTATACCACAGACATTTTTACTGTATCAGCCAGGAAGGGAGAAGCTACCAGCATGCAACCTTTAGACTAGTTCTCCAGAAGATGTGACCAGAACACATGAAAGACCTGGAAAAACAGGTACAGTTGAGTTTGAGCCCCTGGACACTAATGACACAGGCAACAGAGAAAAGGATTGTCCAGTAAATTCTGGTCTTATTCAGTTTCTGGAATAGGCAATCAGGTCTGAGTATAATTAGAGGCAACATGATGAAACACAAGACCAGTGAGCCCCCAAGACTCAGGTTTCCATGCTGTAACAAAGGTTCACAGGAGCCGCAACTGGAACAGTAGTTTTGTGCTGCTACTCCAGAGATAAGGTGCTGGGCTCCACCTCACAACAGGGGCATGAGTTTTATTATACCTCACACCCTAAATGCACTGCCAATTGAAAGTCAAAGCCTCCTAGAACATGTTTTCTTCTACAAAAGTAATAATTGCAAATGTGTAGGCTTATGCTCAGCTTTAGCAACTGCCACCAAGAACTGAGCCACCATCACCATTCCCCAGCAAGCTTTCCCTGCAGTACCCTCTTTTTGGCTTTCTGTTGTACAAATATTTGTGCCAGACCTGGGGCCAGGACTATGGGTTACACTGCCCCACTTTTAAGTGGTACCTAATACTATCGTTGGGTGGTGCTCTCTGTCAGGACTTTATCCTCACATCCTCATTTCTGCATGTGTCATCCTCTGCCATCAAAACACTTCAGCCAGAGAAACAATTAGTGTCACCCCAGTATCTTGCAGAGCCTTGCTGCAGCCTGGAAAGGGACACCAAGGAGCCAACAAATCAGCCATCTTCAGAATCTAGAATAGAAATAAGAGGCTCCTCCCAGAAAAGCATGTCCTACCAGCAGCATGTTGCTCCAGGGCACCTCACTCAGGGCCTCTGCTTACCGTTTGTTTCACTCTGGAATGGGCACTTCAACAGAAACAAGGTTTCCTCACAAAAAATGAGAAATGGGGTTATTTCCATTTTTTTATGGCTTGGGGTTTATCCTCCCTGCTTGCAGGATCCTTCATCTCGCCAGTGCCACCTGGTGGGCCCTGGCTCTACGGGTCTGCACCCATGAGGAGGAAGAGGAGGGTGCACCCAGAAGGCCTGGAACAACGGAAATCTTCTGCAAGAGAGCATGGCTGCAGATATGGTAGGTGCAATCCCAATTTTCTTCAAAACCTGTCCAAGCTGCATGGGCTCCCTTGGGGCTGCTTCACGATGGAAGTTAATCTGCTTCTGCAAGGTCTGATTAGAAAGAAAATTCCCTTTGCCTGACCTCCTTTTCCACTTGGCCCACGTGCAGGTACAAGTTTAGCAAGTGCCTGCAAGCCCCAGTGCATACAAACAAGCCTTGTGGAGCATTATATTTTGGTTTTCTCTACCCCTCTTACGGCCTCCCCTGGCTAAAGTCAAAGAAACACTGAAAGCATCCAAGTAAATCAGTCTATTGCATTTTCTCATCAGCTTAAAATGCTCCCCTTGGTGCCAAAAAAATGACAATTCTCTGCAGAACCAGGCCTGCAGGATGGTTGTATTGAAGCTATTTCTTTTTGCCTTGCCTTCTTGAAAAGCATGTTGGCAAGGGAACATGTCTCCAAACTCCCAAGTCCAGTGCACCATACTGAGCACACAAAAATATATGCATGCACATGACAGAGTGCAGAGGGTGACCCAGCATGGATTTGCTTCATGGACACCCGTCTCCTGCCATGGTCATCCTAAGACAGATCAAATTCATTGCACCATAACTGACAGCTTCTAAATAAAAACCTGTCAGAAGACAGGAGCCCAAATGAGTTTGCATGTTAGCCACTCGGAAGGACAAGGCTGAACACCAACCTTTAGGGCTGAGTGAGTCACAGCAGCCAGAGCCCTGGGCTGATTACAATGATGCATGGGCTTGAGCAGAGGGGAGAGATGCTGCAGCATGACTGGGGCAGTGGGAGTTCCTAGGATGACACAGCTGCTCCTTAGTACAGGATGGAGCAAAGAAGCAAACCCAGTGCTCCCAGCAACCATGCACTCACTGCAGTGCTGCAGTCTTCTGTTCCTGCATCTGAGCAGTTAACCCTTCACAACTACTTCTGTCACTAGAAAAGCTCAGCCTGCCTATGGCTAACCACAGCCCTTCACTCTGCTCTCCTCATCCAGGCAACAGGCACACATGCAGCAACAGGGAGCAAAAAGAAAAGAGGAGAGCAAGAACTGGGTTATCCATTGATGGAAACAACCAGTATTTATCATAATAATTTGTAATATATTGTTTGAGTAATTTAAACCCTCCTGTAAAAGGCAAAAAAGCATAGTATGAACATCAGTAAGAGGAAGGAATTAATTGAGAAATTGCTTAGGAATAGTTCAGAAGCACATGTTTACAGCAGTTTGTACAGGGGAAGTTTTAGAAGGTTAGAACAGAAATGAAATAACCTTGCTCTGGCTGTTGCCTGAAACTAAGTCAGGAGAGATAACATGTGCAAAGGGAAGCAGCAGTCAAAGGTGGACTGAAAGGGGAGCAACATTTTATGTGTTTCTTGATTTAATTTTTAGCCCACTCTGGAATTGGCTGTTCATTTCAGCATGGATGCACTCAGCAGTTTGTGACACACTGTGCTGTTTTGCTCTGCCAGCTGTGTTGTGCCTGCCAACATTTGTTGAGAAATAACAGGAGGTCACACATGGTGTCAAAAAAAATACCCCTGGCACAGCACATAGAAAAAGGCATTGTATTAGTGGCAATGAATTCAGACCTACTGATGGTGGAATTAATGAAATTTGTGGCTGGCACTCTCTTTGCATCCCAATGGAGGCTATAACAAACAAAGCAAATGTACTGGCCACTAGCCCGTAGGATCAGCAAACCATGCTTGTCCAAGGCACCTGGACACTCGTTGCCTTCCCTGGCAGGCCCTGAAGTAGAGAAAGGAATTGCTGTGCTTGCCTAAGACCTCTCTTCTCTGACTCTAAGGCAACAGGAAACCAAGAGACAACCAAGGCAACAGGAAACCAAGAGACCTCCTGAACACCACCAGTCACTCATCAGTTGTCTTTCCTCTCCTGAGTGGTTCCCAGTCTCTTTTAGGAAACCCTCAGATATATTTATGTTGGCCTTTGTCTTTCCATTATCTTTATGTTAAGTGGAGACAACTAAGGATATATATATTTCTAGATAAGGACACAACTCCTTACAGTCAAAGCAAATACTGCTGCAAGGACTCATGTAGGTGACGTCCATCTTCAGATACATCTAGCCACCTTCTAACTAAGAAACCCAACTCAACTTCAAAGTCATCCCTGCTTTGAGCTAGAGGTTGAACCAGAAAACCTTTATACGTCATCTTCTACCTCAGATTTTCAATATCTCAGTGATTCCAAATCCACATGTGTTCAGCCATCTCTTTGTGTACTATCTACCTGCAGGTAAGAATCAGTCAGTACTTACCTTTCTTGGACTAGCATCATTAGCTAAAACATGATTCATCCCTTTCCTTTCC